CCCCCCCCTCCCCCCCACCCCCCCGAGTTCATTTTTTATTGCAGATTCGGGGTCCTCTAGGGTAGCGCAGCAGAACCCCACCTTCCCTGGTCCTTGCACGGACGGGCCACCCGGGAAAACAAGGTGTTCCAGGTGGCCTGGCTGGTAGCCTAGGCTTAATTAAAATTAAAAAAAAAAGGAAAAAAAAAAAAAAACACAATGATGTTCACACTTCAAACTTCAATTCCATCCCACCTACCTCGCGTGTCTCTGTGGAGGTCTCCGAGTTCGACTTCGACTCACAGATCTTCACAATGTACTTGTTACGCGAATCCGCGTCAAGCGAAAAGTACAACTGTGAAAGTTGGAACAGCTGCATCATGAAGAGGAACTTCTCCTGAATTTCCAATGGCCACACCTGCATGCCCAGATAACACAAGGCAAATATGTATATATATCGTCAAATAGAACTGCCCGGTAAACCGTAGGCAGAGAGGGAGAAGAGGACAACAAACGAGGGCTGTGACAAACTGTTTCGTCGGAGTTTCACCGACTCATCAGGAGGCTGAATATACATATATATATATATGTACATATATATCGTCACAAACAGAACTGCCCGGTAAGCCGTAGGCAGAGAGAGAGAAGAGGACAACAAACGAGGGGCTGTGACAAACTGTTTCGTCGGAGTATATATATAACCTCTGTTAGACTCCGGTTACCACAATGACCACTCTGGTTACCAGAATGGTTAACACACACTAAACTCAGACTCAGCACATGATGGTACGGAGGGCCAGGCCACACTCGTGCTCTATTCATGCTAACAAAGCATGGACAAATTTAGCCAGGGCCTATCCAAAGATCCGACCACCCGTCAAATTTGGTATGGCATTGCCACTGCAGATGATTTTGAGAGCCATGATGGTATTACTGAGGAAAAATTATATCAAAAAATATTTGCCATGATATTTCTGCTTCATGTGCTAAATTGGGTTTATTTAGTTTAAACTTTAGACCACCATTGCGACCAGGTTCATACATTTCGAGCATGACATAGCATTACTCTGGTTGCCACGATGGTAACCAGAAACACTACACTCAGCACATGATACTGATGGCCAAGCCGCACTGGTGCTATGTTCTTCATGCTAACAAAAGACGGAACGTGACCACAAGGACAACCGGGTTCATAATTTCCAAGCACGAACTTAGGACAACCAGGTGAGCCTGTCGATGACTCTCTCTGAGAGGTTACCATGATGGTAGCCAGAGAGGTTACCACACACTACACTTAGCACATGATACCTGTAGCTGGGCTGTATCGAGGCTATGTTCATGCTAACGAGGTCAAGAACATGGACTCGATGGCAATCAGGTTCAGAATTTCCGGAGCACGAACATAGCACCAGTCGGGCCTGTCCATGGCTCAGGTTACCATGATCGTAACCTGAGTGCAACCCGAGTGGTTACCACACACTACACTTAGCACATGATACTGATGGCCACGCCGTACTGGTGCTATGTTCATGCATATGAAAGTATGAACATGACCCCGACGACAACCAGGTTCATAATTTCAAAGCACAATTCCAAGCTTGGCCCGCTGCTCCTTTCCGCCTTGGCAAAAAGAGACTCAGACGTGGTGGTGGTTTAAGCAAACTGCTTTTCTTTACTGTTACAGCTTCCATTTATTTATTTATTTATTTATTTATTTATTTATTCTTTTTCGGGAGCTTCCATATTCACTAAAGCAGTCTCGTCACTCTCGTCTCGTGTTAAAAAAAAAAAAAAAAACCGGTCTGGTGTTAAACAACCAGTACACCCAGGCCTGCAGGTGCCTTACTGCCGGCCAAGCTTTTCTGGCGCCACCAGCCATTGTGGTCCGGAGGGCTGAGCCTCCAAAATTTTCGTAGGTGACGACTTTCTTTTTCAGCAAGGCAGGGGGCCGTGTACTGGCCGTTTAAAGCTGCTGCAAACATCCAAAAGTGAACAGCACCCCAACTGCACATCACCCCAACCGAACAGCAACGCTCGTCAGCACTCCTATAAATGTGTAACAAAATTTACCTTCGCCAGCACCCCTATATAAAGCGAACAGCCCCCAAACCGAGCCGCACCCCAACCGAACGGCAACGCTCGTCGGCACTCCTACAAACATGTAACAAAATTTGCCTTCGCCAACACCCCTATATATAAAGCGAACAGCACCCCAGCCGAGCGGCACCCGTACTGAACAGCAATGCTCGTCAGCACTCCTACAAACGTGTAACAAACTTTTTGTTCGCCAGCACCCCTATATAAAGCGAACAGCACCCCAACCGAACGGCAACCCTCGTCAGCACTCCTATATAAACGTGCAACAGAATTTACCTTCGCCAGCAAACCTATGCAAAGAGAACAGCACCCTAACCGAACGACACCCTGACCGAACAGCAACGCTGTCAGCACCCCTACAAACGTGTAACGAACTTTACCTTCGCCAGCACCCCTACATCAATCAGACAGCACCCCAACCGAACGGCAACCCTCGTCAGCACTCCTATAAACATGCAACAAAATTTACCTTCGCCAGCCCCCCTATATAAAGCCAACAGCACCCCAACCGAATGGCACCCCAACCGAACAGCAACGCTCGTCAGCACTCCTACAAACGTGTAACGGACTCTACCTTCGCCAGCACCCCTATATAAAGTGAACAGCACCCCCAACCGAACGCCAACCTTCGTCAGCACTCCTATACAAACATGCAACAAAATTTACCTTCGCCAGCACCGCTAGCACCGCTATATAAAGCGAACAGCACCCCAACCGAACAGCAACGCTCATCAGCACTCCTACAAACATGTAACGGACTTCACCTTCGCCAGCACCCCGATATAAAGCGAACAGCACCCCAACCGAGCGGCAACCCTTGTCAGCACTCCTACAAACGTGTCACGGACTTTACCTTCGCCACCACCCCCATATAAAGCGAACAGCACCCCAACCGAACGGCAACACTCGTCAGCACTCCTTTATAAACGTGCAACAGAATTTACCTTCGCCAGGACCCCATATAAAGCGAACACCACCCCAACAGAACGACAACCCTCGTCAGCGCTCCTATATAAACGTGCAACGGTGCAACAGAATTTACCTTGGCCAGAATGGCAGTAGTTAGCTGAAGCTCTTCCAAATCGGCAGGATGAGCCGTCGATCGTGCGTCGTCGAGCATCCTCCGAGTTATACCCTCGTGCTGCTTCAAGAATTCAATTATCTGCAAAGCAACCTCGTCTGGTCCCTGCATGGCAACGACCGCCACAACCAACTAAAATTATCAGCCAACGGAAAAAGTTGTTGTCCACGAAAGCGAAACTCTACAACATTTTTCACCTGAGCAGCTGAGCTCGCATTTTCAGCCTGTGACTCCATCTTCATAAAATTCATATCATCCCACATGAAGCATTTGCTGCATTTCTCAATGTCACTGATAGCCAGCACAGCGCAGTTCACACGCCTCCCGCCCGGTCGCGATGATGATAAGTCGACATCTTACGATCATTCCGATGATTCCGGGAGAAGCTTGTCAGTAGCTGACATTCTCCATCCTGCACATAACGCTAGAGCAACGGCTTTCTGTCACCTTTTTTTTTTTAACCCTTCGGCACTTTGGGATAATTTGCAAAATACCCCCATATCTTGAGATATATGCTAAAATGCCCCTGAAAGAGGTGGGTAGAGTGAAATGCCCATTTGAGCCGAAATCTTTTGTGTTATGGCCCTGTCAGGGGGGAGTGCAAATTTGCAATCTGAACCTCGCAGTTTGGGCCTTGGCCTTTTTTGGAATTGGGCCTTGGAAACGTTGACAAGTACCAGGGCATTTTGGAAAGTTGGACAGTACAGGGTAGGGGTATATTGCAAAGATGGGGGGTCCAGCCGACTCCCAGGGTATTTCACAATTTAATTTTTTTTGTCAGAGACTCAGGATCCATTCTGGGGAGCATCAGTCTGGTTCGTATTCCACTGACATGTCACACTTGCACTACGTAGCACTTTCCAAAATGAATTTGCCTGCAATTATGACCCGACTAGGATGAATCTGACTGCAATCACGTGCAGAGCATTGTCGGACAAGTCCTACTGTGAGTATCCTCTGCTCAAGTCAGAAAAATACATATGCAAGTTAATGCAACTCGGTCTCGACTCTTCGTCATGTTACATGGGATGCTTCCCCCGGGAGAAGCGTCAAGACGAGGGAAACTAAATAAGAACAAAAAAAAAAAAGAAAAAAAAAGACACGGGAATCTGGGGATTTTCTTTCATTTCACACAACAAAGGAAAAAAAGTAAACAAACAGAACCGTTCAAGTTTCAGCCCATCAAATACAAGTTACAAAACTCACCTGGTCGGGATTGCTACCAGATACATCAATCAGAGTCGTAAGTGCTAAAACAAGTCGAAGAACAGGAGTGAGGATCTGATGATGCCTCTCCCTCTGCGACGGGATAGCCATCAACGCGACCTTCGGTGCCGAGTCCATTTCTTGGCCATCCTGCAAACAGAGTCGTTATACGCAACCACGGATTCATAAATCAATAAATAATAAAATAACAATTAACCCTCATTTTCCGTCCCCTGAACAAAGCGCACATCGATCGACAATCAATATACGCAAAGCTATGTTTTTCGGTTCAACAGCATAAAGTCATGACAGGGGTGCGTTTCATTTGCGCGAAGACGGGAACCGTCTTGCCCCTAAAATTTCCGATCAAACAAATAGACATCTTTCGACAGGTCAATAGCTACAGTCTTCCCCCGAATACAACGTACGCCGTACGGTCATTATAGCCGAATTTGGGGCATCTTTCAGTCTAAATACAGCTATAATGACCGTACAATGCGTACATTGTATTCGGGGGAAGAAGGTAGCTAGCTGTTTGGTCTCCTCATGCTTCGGCCATTTGTTTCCTGCAACAAGAAAATATTCCACACCTTGATCTATGCAAGGAATATGAGCGAGAGCGATAGACAGAAATCCAAATTGCAAAATCACAAAGTAGTCCAGAGAGTCGTACACCAAGCAGAAAGCACAATGCACCGAGATACAGCCAAATAAGAGCAATACAATGAACTCAAATGTCGAAGTCGAGAGACACTCTCTCGCCACATCAACATAGTACCCAATGTCGCTCTTCCTGATTGGCGCTCAGCGCCCAGCCTATCCTACTCAGCCTACTCTAGCCTACACTACGTTCATGCAACGGGATTCACTTCAGGCCTGAAGACCAATGTACGCGACGAAGTCGCTCATGCAGACTGCCAGCATACGCCAGGTACGTCTCTCTCTCTCCTCTCACCTCACCCCTCGACTTCCCACAGTGTGCATCACCGACACCCAAAGACCACCACCGTCGACACCCACTCTCTGCCCACAAGCCCGGCTATGGCCTCCGTGCACCCACGACCGCAGCAGCGCCTCTCTCCTCTCAACGCCCGTGCGCGCCCTGGCCAGCAGCGCTAACGCAGCTGCTCGTGTATCAACGCAGCAGCGTAGCTGCATTGCCTACACAGGCCAGAATGCCTGAGGCTGGAGTGCTCACTTTCCTTTATGGAAAGTGGGCCCTGATGGTCGTGCCCTCGGCCTGGCTGGGCGAGTTCCAGTTTCCAGTGGGGCCCCAGTATCTGCACCCAGGCCCAGTTTCAGATACTGCCTGGGCCCCATGCAGTTAACGTCCAGGTAGCCCACGAGGCGCCCTGCTTGTCGTGCCCTGGGCCTGGCTGGGCGAGTTTCCAGTAGCTTCCAGTCATGCCCCAGTATCTGTGCCCAGGCCCAGTTTCAGATACTGGCCTGGGCCCCGTGCAGTTAGGCACGTCCAGGTAGCCCACGAGGCTCCAAGTGTTTGGCGCAACCCCATTGGCCTGTGGCATGTGTGTCACGAAGGAGCTGCTTTCTCATTGGTCCACGGCAGCTGCATGACTTCTCGGCCTCCGAATGCATGTGCCCAGGGCCTCAATTCGACGCAGCTGCTGCTTTTGGAAAGAGCCAGGGAAGGCTCACATTGCCCTGTAACCAACTGACGTGCCACGCAACTGCCTGGTACCCCACTTACGAAAAATAGCAAAAGTAGGCCTCACACGAATATGCAGGTCCGCCTTCACTTAGAGCGGCATGAGGCTTGCTGGGGGACCGAGCCCAGAACGTCTGTGTGCACGAGAAGGGCCTTGCGAGGGCTCAATCCTCGCATCTACCTCTACATTTCGCTGCAGCATCATTGAAATAAACGAGCCTTCCCCCTCCTCGGAAGTTTCTAGGGGTGGAAGCAATTGAACGAGCGCGACAGATAATAATCTCTTCATTCATGGACCGAAAGTCGCCCAACAAAAAAAAATGACCAAAAAAACAAGGGGCAAATTGCTGCGCAGAGGCAGGGCTTTTCTTTGATTTCTAGATTTTTTTTTTTCCCTGTGAAAGAGAATACTACCAGTCGCTGTTATGTGTGAGAAAACGAGAGAGAGAGAGAGAGAGAGAGAGAGAGAGAGAGAGAGAGAGAGAGAGAGAGAGAGAGAGAGAGAGAGAGAGAGAGAGAGAGAGAGAGCAAACAAATAGCTCCTTATAATTTATTAGAAAACCCCTGCGGTTTACCCGAGAGGCCCCTGCAGATAATTGGCAAGGGCCTTCTCACCATGAACTAAGTAACGCTCATAGCCATGCTAGGGTCATGGCACGCCAAGTATATATGCTGTGGATTCACATTAAAGTCCGTGTTTCAGCAGTTATGGGACCACTGAGCACGCGAGTTTCTGGGCTGTAGCAGGCCAACTCACCACGTGCTTTTCAGGACTTCCCTCCACTACTCACCAAATGTGCAAAACTAGAATGAATCTTCTGCCAGAACATGGAACCATACGCCGCCATATGTTTTGTCTTTTGTGCAAGTAGTGATGAGTGGAGCAAGGCCCTTAGGGCCACTCCTCTTAGGAAAAGGAAACAAAAGAAAGAGTTGGAATGAATCTTCTGCTAGAACATGGAACCATACGCCGCCATATGATTTGTCTTTTGTGCAAAGTAGTGACGAGTGGAGCAAGGCCCTTAGGGCCGCTGCTCATAGGAAAACGAAACAAAAGAAAAGAGAGAGCTACAGTAGCAAGTAGTTGTAACTTGTGACCCATAACTGCTGGAAAGCAGACCTGACTTCGGATCCAGAACATATATTGCTGGCCTGCTCCGCTCTCACACGAAATTTGCCGAACGTCTCTTGAGATATTGGACCCTTGCAGATGCACTGCTGGGGTCCTTTGGGGAAAATACTATTCAATAAGGAATACGTGAGCCCAATTTTTTTTTTTCTGTACTCCTCTGTCGTCCTCCTCCTCTCTTCTTGTCTTCCTCCTCCTCGTCTCCCCCCGCTCCTCCTCCTCCTTTTTGGGTTATTTTAACTTATTTATTTCTTATTTGGTCCACTTCCTCATTGATGCGTGTCATCTTGGCGCAGGGGCCATAATAATCTTGCCATTGGGACATTCATTAACATTCAATTTTTTTTTTCTGTACTCCTCTGTCGTCCTCCTCCTCTCTTCTTGTCTTCCTCCTCCTCGTCTCCCCCCCCCCCTCCTCCTCCTTTTTGGGTTATTTTAACTTATTTATTTTTTATTTGGTCCACTTCCTCATTGATGCGTGTCATCTTGGCGCAGGGGCCATGCTAATCTTGCCATTGGGACATTCATTAACATTGGAAGGAGAAGATTAGCATGGCCCCTGCACATGGATGACACGCTTTAACTGAGAAGTACGAGGAGTAGAGGTGTTTTTTTCTTTTTCTTTTTCTGGACAATATAGGGGATCCAGACCAGGGGTCCAAACCGGTCCAGAAATTCCGGAATATTCCTGTTTTCCGGAAGTCTGGATGGGCCCGGAAGGTCCGCGGTCCGGGGTCCGGTCCGGCGTAGCTATGCTCCGCATTGGACATTCGGGCACTGGCTGCCTTGTGCGCAAGCGCTGCTGCGCTATTGCTGGCCAGGCTCACGCGCTCACGGGCGAGCTGGAAGGAGCAGGCAGCCATAGCCGAGCTGCGCTGCTGTATGGGGTGCATGGTGGTCCTTGGGTGCATGTGGCATCTGTGAGTTGGGGAACGAGGTTGTGAGTGATACGAGAGACATACCTGGTGCTTGAAGCGTGCGGCATTGTCCGAGATCTGCTCGTACTTCGGGGAGCTGTTGACGTCATCAGCGGCATCGTAGTCTAGGCTAGATAGGAGCTGCCATTAGTGGTCTCGGCGCCGAGCGCCAGATAGGATATTGACATTGGTTCTTCGTTGATGATGATGAGACTATGCCAGCATTGTCAATTATGAGCTTCTGCTGTGTCCTTATTTGGTGAAACTCGTGATGCAATTCTGCTTTTTGGTTCGAGGTCACGACTATCTGGTCTCATGTGTATGATGCTGTTTGATTTCTGAAGTTCGCTATCGCTAATCTTCCTTGCAAAAGCTTCTTTTTCTTTCTGTTTTAAAAGGGCCATTTCTCTATTTATTGGGGCCATGCTAATCTCCTTCGTATCGTTCCAAATTTAACTGATGTCCCAAAGGACGCTGGCCTGATAAAACTACCTGTCGTGGAGGGAAAAAAAAAGCCAGGATTGTCCTGTGCTTCCGGAGATAGTACTAAATGAATTGCGGTGAGATGCGGGCTGTACACTAATTTTGCTGCCTCCTGTTTTGCGCTTTCCGGGATTCGATCCCGTGACTGGAATTGTGTGTGTCTGTTTGTCTTAACTGTGTTTGTTGCTCCCTTGTTTTGGGCGTTGCAGGACTTGATCCCGTGACTTGTAGTGTGTTTGTGGAGTTTGACTGTTTTTTAGGTTTGTTGGGCTTGAACCTTGAACCTGTCGCTAGTAATCTCTACTTGTGGACCTAGACGTCCCTACAGGGATCCTTTTCCTCTTTTTTAACAATTGTCATTCCCCTGCCCTCTGCCCCCTGCACCCCTGCCCCCTCACGCCTCCCCCCCCTCTCAAGAGCAGTGCACAACCTGAATCAAAAGGGCTGTTCAAAGCTGGTGAGAGGCCTCAAGCAATGATCACAACCCTCTCTTTTTTTTCTTTTTTTTTCACACCTTTTTTTCCCCCCCCCCACAACCTAACTAAAAACGTCGCAGAAAGAGAGGGATAATATAAGAAAAGTAGGTTGTAACCGTTGTATGATATTCTTGGCTTTTTTTTTTTTTTAATGCCGACCAACGTGCACATTGGCAAAAGGCCACAAGTCTCATGACGCCGTGCTCAGAAATATACATACATGGAGTTGAACATCCAGTGCCCTGCAGTTTGCCAAATACTGTAAGATGCCCATCGACATTAGCGTTTGCGCCCCTTTGGTTCTGTTGTGATGAGCGACACGATTCAGAAGTGCCAACTCCGCCTCCAATGTGTACAGTCTTCGCAACGACTCCGTCGAGGGGAAAAGCACTGCCTGAACATTCCAAACGCCAAAGAAGAACGGAAAGTCGGGAAAAAAAAAAAAAAGACCAAAAAAAACAAACAAAAAACAAAGACCGCGAAAAACAAAAAATGAGCATTGGGTCTTGAAAGTTGATACGGAAAAGTTGTCTAAATTTTCTAATTGCCAACACGCAGAACGGGGCGCGGGAGGGGGGGGGGGGGGGGGGGGATGTACCACTGGACCTTGATATGGAAGAGCACGAAATACGGAAACTCGGATTCGGAATCAACAACCAATGCAGATGGGAAAAGCACTGCCTCAACATTCCAAACACCGAAGCAGAACAGAAAGCGCATACACATACACACACGGAAAAATAAAAAGAAGAAAAAGCAATGGGCCAGGGTATGTAAGAGTATGAAATGTGGATATGAAACGCGGAAACGTGAGTCAGATTCAACAATCAAGGACTGGCACATGGATACGCACAAGATGGGTTTCGGGTGTTTTGCTCATTTAGGATTTAAGATTTTACGGATAAAAATCAGGTTTAGGGATTGACGATCTTGATAGGAGTGACGGTTTCAAAACGACATTCGGATGCTGAACCCGTTCTCCAGCTTCGCTAGTCGTGTATTTTTTCAAAGCCGAAACCGGGAAACACGGAAACTCGAGTCGAAAACAACAATCGATGACTGACACACGGATAAGCACAAATCGGGCTTAGGGATTCCGCTGCTTCGGATTTAGGGTTTCTGCGGCTCAGGTTTCATCGTCTATCTTGGTAGGAGTTACGGTTTCAAAATGAAGCCGGGACACTAGACCTGTTTTCCTGCTTATCCTATCGTGTATTTTCAACAGAAGCAACGTAGTGGGCCCACCAGGATCATCATTGTGCAGCATCTTGATAGTTGAATTGAAGGGTTCACCAGGTTTAGGGTTTAGGGATTAGGGTTTAGGGTTTAGGGATTAGGGTTTAGGGTTTAGGGGTTTAGGGATTAGGGTTTAGAGTTTTGCACCTGGTAGGATGATGTGCTAACATCCCCAAGACAAGATTGTAGCAATCCTCTGCTCAGCAGCTGGTTGAAGAAGATCTGTTGATTGTCAATGCTGAGGAGGGCCTCCAGCACGTAGAACGCCAACGCCTTACCCACGTCGCTGCCATGAGTTGCGTCTTTTGCCGCCTATGCTCGTTCACACACAGACGAGCGAAATTTCAAAAACCAATGGGCTTATCGTAAGAATTGGAAGCGAAAATTTAACTGCCGATAAGATCGCGAGTTCAAATCGTGATGGAATTAGACGGATGCAATAATGTCAAAGGTAAGATCATGAGTTCAAATCCTGCTGGAATTAGACAGATGCAATAATGTCAAAGGGCTGCCGCCTCAAGGGAGAAAGAAGGAAAGAGTCGCTATCATGCAATGGTGTGAGTGGCACCGGGTCCTCGTTGAACGGTTTCTTGCAACAGTTTGTGCTCCACCTTCAGCCGCGGTCCCTAGACTCCCTACTGGTGTTAGCGCACAGGACAAACACTGGTCTGTTCCGTCCACAATAAAAAATCCAGGCGTCCTCCAGGACATCCGTTAAAATTGGAACGATATTTACGATACAGAGAAGATTGGCATTTCCCCTGCGCAAGGAGGATGACACACATACATCGAGAAGTGGTCAAAATTTTCAGAAAAGAAAAAAAGGAAAATCAGGCGAGTATGGGAAACTCTACCCAGATCCGCCTCCCTCGTCATACAGTTGCTGCAACAAAAAGAACGCCTGGTCATTATACCCGTATGTGGTGCAACTTCCAGTCTACATACAGCGATAATGACCGGGCGTTCTAGTCGGGTGAAGGTGAAGACCGTAGTGTTATAGTCAGACTCGCCTCACTCAATCAGAAGAACATACAAATCGACCAGATGATGGATTCACATACTACAGTGACATTCATCAGCTAAAAACAATGAGCAGCACTGGCCAGCTGGCTTCCGGCAGCCAAGCGGGAACGCTTGGAACTGCCACTACATAAATGAAAACTTTCAAATTTACTTCATATTTTTTTTATAAAGACCGACATCATACTATTTGAAGTTTGAACAAATTAAAACATAGCAATAGAATCCTCAGGGCATACTCACGCCACAGGACTTTTCAGACTGAGCTGTGAACATGATTGCAGTCGGATGCATCCAACTCTGGCTGTAATTGCAGTGAGATACATTTAGAAAAGTGGTCAGGTGACCATGCCCTCAGATTGTATGCAAAACAACACAGCACTGAAAAGTAGTCAAACAACAACGAGGTGCAAAAGGCAGTAGTTGTTCATCCAGCCCACGTGGCCAGATGCGCACACATGTAACTGTTAATGAACAGATCATGAGTTCAAACGCTGGCAGAATCAGATGTTCTGCTTTTTTAGGATTTGAACGGGCCAGATATCCACAGGGATCGATTTTTTCCGATGTGAACAGGCCAGGTATCGAACACTAGACCTCTAGATTAGTTTTCTGTTTTGCTTTTTACTTACCGATTGACTGGTTATAGCAGGATGGTACCAGTGCAGCCTTGAACACGCAACTGTACTGCGAATGATTTTTCTGAGCTGATACCTGCCGGGTGGACCTGACACCTATACCCGCAAGACCACGGATTCTTCTGACGGGTGGCTCGGGCAATGATACCGCTCCGGAACTGCCTGCGAGAATAGACGGAAAAACTAGTGTGTCTTTCCTTTTGTTTTCGGGTCGATAAATACGGAGCGTGAGACTTATTTACTACTCTTACAGGTCAGACGGATCTTAACGGAACGCCGGCATCCGGATGGTGGCGGGAAGTGAGAACGGGGGTGGAGTGGGTTTGTGGTGAAGAAAGGAGCCGTCAAGGGAAGTTTGGCTGGTGGAAACCCCCTGAAGATGACAGCCTGGCGGCTGTCGAAACACGACATCGGGGACGCGCGAAGGCCCCAAACTGTATATACTATATAGTCACATAACTATGGGCTAAAAGAGCACAATTTGCGAAACAAAAGGCAAAAATAACAAATTAAAAAACAAGACAAACATGAGGAGCACACTGAAACCATTCATTTTTCTAATTCTTCTTTTAACTCCTTCACCGTGCCTCTCACGTACAAGGCTCGCCACGTTGATGAAGTTGAGCGTGGGCTGCCCCCATCCTCGTGTGCCATAACGGCCACTTGTACGCTGTGAGAAAGAGGCAGAGTGAAGGGGGAGGGGATAAACACAGGGAGGAGAGATGGAGAGCAGGCAAACAAAAAATGGATGATAAAGGGAAAGTACGGAGTGTGGAGTGAAGATGAAGGCAAAAGAGAGGATAAGAAAAGGCTCAACAATGAGTCTGTCCTTAACGACAGAGAGGACATATATTGGAAGGATGAGGTGGATGAACACATGGAAGACCTAGCTGAGCATTCTCAGTGCCACAACCGTGACGGTTGGGATTGAGCATGCCCACCATACACCCCCGACAAATGGCATGCCGCTTGCAGGCCAAAATGAGGGAACAACGGTCACCACAAAAGACCATGCATTCAGTATATACTCGTTTTTCAATACCGAACGCGCTTTGTACTTGTCTCATGTGTGCGACATGTTGATGTGTGTTTGCATATCTCAATTCTATGCACAAGAATCAGATGGATATAATAATACACTTTATTCAAACTTCAAAGTTTATTTAGGGGCTGGCTTAACTTTTTTTTAACAAGTTTTCATCAACCATATTTTCGAGCTAAGACTGTAAATAGCCCATCAAATCATGGAATGCACCGAAATGTAACTGTTAATGAACAGATCACGAGTTCAAATGCCGGTAGAATCAGATGGAGATAACAAGATTTAGGTGCTGGCTTACCCTCTTTTTTTTGAAAAAGGTAGTACTTTATTCCTTGGAAGTTTTTATCAACCGTGTTTTTCGAGTTAAGAATAAAGTAGCCTCTAGGCTACCAGAGCGGCCTGGGACCACTTTCGGCCCGGACCAAAACAAATTAAAAACTAAAAAACTTTTTTTTTTTTGGGGGGGCGCTAGGCTACCAGAGTGGCCCGGGGTCACTTGCCCAGCCGGACCAAAAATAAATAAATAAATAAAAATAAAAAAATTATTTTTACTGTTTATTTTTTATTCTAAATTTGGTGAAGAATTTCGATGTGACCCTGAGGCAAAAGTTGTTCAGTTTATTTTTCTTTATTACATAGTTCTTTTCCGGATTTTTTTGATTTTTTTTTATTTTTATTTTTTTGCTGGGACCTTCCCTGGTCCTTGCACGGGCTGGCCACCCGGGACCTGGGCGGCCCGGCTGGTAGCCTAGGGGGGGGGGCGTATTTTTTTTTATATGACCCTGAGGCAAAAGTTGTTCAGTTGCCTTCGGGACATCCGTTAAAGTTGGAACGATAAAAAGAAGGAAGATTAGCATGGACCCTGCACAAGTAAGGATGACACGCATAAATCGAGAAAGAGTCAAAATTTTTGAAAGAAGAAAAAAAAGTTGTTCAGTTTATTTTTCTGCATAACTGTCATAACATTTTTTTTCCCGAAACTTTTGGATGTTGTTCAGTTTATTTTTCTGCATAACTGTCATAACATTTTTTTTTCCCAAACTTTTGGATTTTTTTCTTTCTTTTTTGGCTGCTGGGACATTCGATGGTCCTTGCAACGCTGGGCAGCCCGGGCAAACAAGGTGACCTGGGCTGCCCAGCTGGTAGCCTGGAGTAGCCCATAAAACCATGAAGCCATAGGTTTTACATTGTGAAGTGGCACTGTGGCACGGATCAGCTACAGCTTCAGAAGAATATGAGCAGCACTGGAGTTTGTCCAAACGGCTGCTTTCGCACTTTGCTAGGAAAAGACATTTGGACTTCAAGTGCGAGGATCTGAGAGCCCTCGGCATGCCCATATTGCAATTTTGCAGGCCCTGATGCGTGCCAGACAGTCACCATGCGCCAGTTGGTTACGCATGCATGCGAAAAGTCCGACGACACTGCATGCGAAACTTTCAAGTTTCAACCGTAAAAAGAGGGGGAGGAAATCGGAAGAGTCCTCAAATGTATCTGGATCTGTATTTGGTCCAATGCATTCCAAACGTGTGGTTGATCTGAATGTATCCAAACCAGCAAACAGTCCAGATGCATGTTCTGTAGTTGAGCAAGACCCGAAAGAGATCCAAACAGCTACTTTCAAATTTCAACCGCAAAAAGAGAGAGGGAGGAAGTCGGAAACGTCGGAGCATCAGCCGGGACCGGCACGCAGACATAATCCGCATCGAGACACAACAACACCATTAAGATGTCCAACCTGCACCCCAATGGTCTGGTGCATTTGTACGATGCATCTTCCCACCGGCGGCGGCAAGATACGTCTGGTTATTATAATACCATCAGGACCACCTCATTATGGCTATTCCACCTCATTACGATAGGAGATCGAAAACCGAGTGGGCAAAAGCAATGGGTCCTTACCACATCCGTGAGCGCCATCGCTTCCTTCCGTAGAATGGCAAAGTTCCCTTGAATTAGTTCTGCCTGCTCCTTATCCAGCTGGTGATCGTCGCATACGACACGCAGGAAAAAGAAAGAAAAACAACACTTTAGAGTGTTGCTGTGCCAAAAAAAAAAAAAAAAAAAAAAAAAGTGTTGCTGTGCAAGCATAGCAAGTTAGTCAATACTATCGTAGCACTAGTGCAGACTTTATTAATTTATTTATTTATTTATATATATATATTTTTAGTGCAGGCATTTTCACTACCGTCTTCAACCGAATGGAACACCTGGTCATTATCAACTGCGTCCGGACTGAAAGGTTGCCCCAAATACAGGTACAATACACGGCAGGCCTTATACAAGGGTGAAGAAGATGGTAGCCCTTGCTATCCACTTAAAACCACCAGTTTCTACGAGCCCTGTCGATTTCTACCGCACACCAATTTTTGACGAACCGGGCTGGGCTCCAAAATGTCTTCACCTGGGATCGGCAGCCTTTTTTATTCCGTAGGCCAGACCTGAAAGAAGCAGCCCTGATCTTTTTTTCAGAATTTTCGGTGCACAACACAAAAATCAACAATGTCAGCGCAGTCAAATTTCCCTGCAGCAGCACCGACTCCCAGAGTGCAAGGAAGATGAGCATTAGCGAACTTCAGCAATCAAACAGCATCATACATATGAGCCCACAAAGGATTGACCTCGAACCACAGCAGACTGGCATCACGAGATACACCAAATAAGAACACACCAAGAGTTCAAAATTGACAATGCTGAAGTAGTACCATCATCATCAACTACGAACCAGAGTTGATATCCTATTGGCGCTCGGCGCCCAGACTACAGGCGGCAGATCCTATCTAACCTATACTACGAAGCATAATGATGACATCAACAGCGTTCCCGAAGTACGAGCATATGGCAACCAATGTCGCACGCTTCAGCACCAGGTATGTCTCTCGTAACACTCACAACCCCGATCCACACCGCACAGATGCCACTAGCACCCCAAGGACCACCCTGCGCTTCACCTAGCATACAGCAGCGCAGCTTGGCTATGGCTGTGTGCTCCCTCCTACTCGCCCGTGAGAGCGTGAGTGCCAGCCAGCCAGCGGATTGCGCAGCAGCGCTCACGCAGCATGCAGCCAGCACCCGAATCCCGAATGAGGAGGCAGGCCCTTCCCTATATCGAAGTGGCCTGCCTGCGTCCAGTCCAGGAAGCTTCCGGTAGGCCCCGGTAGGCACAGGCCCAGTCACGAAGAGAGCAGGCCTTGGGCCTGAAGTGGTTGCATGCGCCCAACTGCTTTCGGCCTGTGTTTGGCCCGGTACCCGTATCCAGCCCAGGGCCTGCTTCACATTCCTTTACACAGGCGGCCCAGGGCCTGGATTCATTCAACCAACTGGCGCAACGCAACTGTCTGAATTTCCCCGTTGCGGGGTGCCCTGAAGAATGAGGCCCGAAGGGCCTGTCGTGCCTGCCTTCACTTAGGGCGGCCGACCTTGTTGCAGAT